ATGAATGATGTTGTGCTGTGTAGAATTTACGAAAAGAAATCAAAGCAAGCTGGAAAAGAAAGAGAACAGAGCCCCAATGAGCCCCAAGGAAGGTTGTGTACTGAATCATCAGTTGTAGCTCATCATCAAACAAGTCTTATTAAGAGGAAGCAATCACCAATCCATCACACAGTACTTGAGGTTGGCGAACCGAGTTGCGGTGGCCAATGGAACACCCCACAACCTTGCCAATTACCCACAAAGTCTAGTCCTTTTCAGGCTCAATTGTGCCAAACAAACAGGCTTGACCACCTGATTTCTGAAAGGTCTGCATTGTGGGTTGGTAAGTCAAGTGAAGCTTCCCAATTGAACCAAATACAACCTAGTCAAGAAGAAGCTGCTTTCAGGCCCTTGAGTGCCAGACAGCCAATATGGGGGCAAAACAGTGAGACAATTTCAGGCCTAGTAGTTGGCCACTCTATAGCACAATCAGGTCTGATATCATCCATGATTGACAGCAGCAGAGAGAACAATCTACCTACTCATCCAATAGTGAACCATGTGTTTGCAGATGGAAATAGTGTACAATAAATATCATGTGAGTCCTCAAATGGCGGTTTTGGAACAACCTTGTTTTCAGCAATAATGGACATGATCAGCAACCACAGAACAACTTGAGTGAAGAGTACTTCAATTTTCAGACACAGATGCCATGTGAGTCCTCAAATGCCTGGTTTTGGAAAAACATTGTTTGCAGCAATGGACATGAGCAACAAGAGAACAACTTGAGTGAAGAGCCCCTCAATTTTCAGACAGGCAATGCTGGAGGAAACCAACGGCCAACCATCGTGACATCGATGGCTGAGCTCCTTGCTCCATCAACAAGCAGCTCGGCTGCGTTTTCACAAACACCAGTTCAAATGACACTAGAAGAAGCTGAAGCGTTCCTGCTTGGATGCTGATGTGTTTTCTAGTAATAATTTAGATTTTGTTTTGATCACTGTTAGCAATAATTTGGATTAATGTTTTATTTTTTTTTGTATTAGATGAAGTATAAAATTTTGTTGCATTATGTCTTTGGTTGCATATGTGAAGGCAATTTACGTTTTTTCAAATTACTTGGTTGTTTTCAATCTGGTATGCATAACTCTTTCAACTATACTGATCCATAAACCATGGAATTTTGTATTGGTTATTGAAATTCGATCAAATCAATCAAAAATCTCATCATCTGTTAGGTGAGCCAATCGACTGAGTTGGGGGTTGGGCGTTCATTGCACATAACCTTTCTCTAGCCAAGAAGAAAAGAACAACGTTACACAATGCTATTGAACTTTTACTTCATCCATCCAACAAATGTCATGACAATGTTACACAATGCTAAATTGGCTTTGACATTTTTTTTATGTTGGTAAGTACCTTCGATGTGTTATCGAGGCATGAAGATTATGATATTTTGCACATTCATCAATTAAGATTACATATATCTATGTACAAATACACTTGGAAGCAATTACATAGTCATCTACCTTAGAATGATTTTGACATGTTTATTGATGCTTGTAAATCATTGTATTCATGCATATGAATCTATGAATATCAAGATTACACAAAGGGATGCAGAAATATCTTTAGAAGCAGTTACATGGCCATTTGAAGCATTTGCATGGTCATCTATGCGACAAATGGCTTTAACATCTAATCAAGGCATGAATCATGGTCACTATATTAGCATAGTCTTGACATGCTATTGAGACAGTAGATTATCATATTCTTTCATGTAAATCTATGAAGATTACGAATATCAACTCACAAATTTCTTGGAAAAAATTCCATGCTCATACATAATAATTCATGAGTGAACTCATAGGAAGATTCTACATATGGTTAGAGTAATGTTGACTAATATTGCCATTAATGCTTCTTCATGAGACTAAGGGTACAAATATGAGTACTCTCTCTCCAAACACCATCACCAATATTCAATTCCTTTTCATCTCTCCCAACTTCAAACCTGAGAACATTGAAAATGGCTTCTTCTCCTTGTTACTCTCTACTACTTCCTCTAATGGTCATCTTCCTCTTCATCAAGTGTTCCATGAGTAGTGATCCCTTCATCGATTCACTGGTCAAAAAAATCTGTAGCAAATGTTGTGTGTCCGACTTTTCTTTTTGCTACAAAGTTTATGACCAACATATGTATCGTCCACAACAAATCTTGATGGTCTTACACAAATAGCAATTTCCCAATCGTTACTAAATGCTACAAACACTCATCTCTTTATAATAAAGTTGATCGATCGCACATCGAATCAAACACAGAGGGACCTTGAAAAGATTTGTGAGGAAGGTTACAGTATAGTGACGAATCTGTTTTTGGAGGCTCTCCAATATTTCAATAATAGAGAGTACCACAATGTGATTTTGTTCTCATCCAAGGCAAAAAAACCAGTAAATGACTGCAAAAATAATGTCAGGAATCCCCAATTGGATCTGATGAACTATCAAATGAATATACTCATCAACATGGCAATCACAGCTACCATCCTTCTTATGTCATAAGGCAAATCACCCATCAACCATTTAGTCTGTTCCTTCTCTGTTTGTTCTTAATTGATACCTTGATCTAATCATGTCAATCCTTCATTAGAATGATATGTGTGATGAATGAAATAAGATATTATCATAACTTTTATCTGTTGATCCATGTCTGTGTGTGCTGAGTGTGTTGTTTGTTGAAGGAAAACATTTCAGGACAAAAGGGGTATGACTATAGTAAATGTTACTATAAAATATGGATTATATTACGACTTCATCTTTGTGCGGTTAGGACAAAAATATAAGTGTTTTGAGTTCAATATCTTATCATTTTAGGATCGATTATAATTTTTTTGAA